ATTCACAGGTGTATCATTGCTGAACATGTTAAAGCATGGAAACATGTCACAGCACAGGCACAACCTATAGGGCCCCTTTAAAAAACAACTGCTTACACATACTGTCCATCCAATATGTGTTAAGCAATTCAAACCAGTATTCAACCAGTATTTAACAATTTCTCACAATCACCTCATAGCAGGATTGTGCAGACCTTGGTATTTTTAGCCATCTACCTTTACATTCAGTGCTTTGATCTTTGCCTCTGTAGGAGATCACAGAGAGTACGGTGTGTGTGTGTGTGTGTGTGTGTGTGTGTGTGTGTGTGTGTGTGTGTGCGTGTGCGTGTTTGTGTGTGTTCTGCCTAGGCAAGCCTCAGCCAATGCTCCTGCAGTGCAGCAGTGCATTTCATTGATTAACTCTGCAGCTCTATCTATACACAGCTCCTCTCCCACTAAGAAACATAAGTCACTGCCATTGAGTTTCAAAATAGAGCGGAGCGAGGTAGACAGAGAGAGGAAGAGCAATGGAGAGAGGGAGGGGGGAGAATTGTGGAGAAAGAAGGAGAAATGACTGAGAGAGAGAGGAAGGAATAGAGAGATTTAGAGAGCTCTTAATGGTTCAATCATTGGTAATCCCACCTAGCAGCCCCTCATTTCCTCCCACAAGATTGCATGGGTACGCAGTATGTGTGTGTGATGGAGCTGTTTTCCTTTTTTCTTCCTAGACCAATGTTACCCTACCTACGAGCAACTCTTCTTCCATCGTCTCACTCTTTCACACATATACGCCCACACATGCAACAGTATGTCTTTGTTTATTTAAACACCTTTTATGTTATTAGATGTAAGCATGGAGGTGGAAATAAACACACTCAAGGATGAATAGAAAAAGGAGCCTTGTGTTAAGGGATAATATAATAATAATCCTTGAACATTTAATTTCCAAATAACAGGGCCAACATTTCTCCGACTGTTTGCTTCCAGTAGTGGTGACCCACTAGTGAAAGTCAGTGTAACATTCATAAGAAATCCTGTAATGCTCCTTCCAGTGGATGCATAAACACATCAGAGGGGAAATAAGATCACTTTTTTTCCTTTCTCAACACTATTAGTATAGGAAAATATAGAAATATATTTTATATATATATTATACTATAGAAAATATGTGTATTTGTTAAAAAATATTATTATTAAATGCTCCATTATTTAATGAGTGCATAATTATAAGTGTGTCCCTAAAATCAATGAATAATCGTGATTAATGCTTATTAAAAATATATGTGATTATCATGTTGGCTACAATCATGCAGCCCTAGAGGGGTAACATCCAATAGAAGAAATACTAATAATACAAGTACTGTTAAATCAAAACCAAAACAATAATAACCAAGGTTCCTTATTCAACACCTTGACGTTCTCCAAAATGTACTACTTAGTAACGTTACTTACGTTATATATATATGTCCAAAAAAGAACACAACATGGCTTTAACTGTTATGTTAAAATACTTCTTGACAAAACATTTTTTTACTAAAGCAGAACATAGTGGTATTAAACTAAAAAGTCTATTAAAATCTATTGATTTGGCCTGAGAGATCAGTGGAACACATAAAGTCACAACAGAAACACAATTAAATAGCTGCAGCCAGACAACCTTGTATAATAAAAAAAACGTAGTTTTAAAACACAAATATAAGCAGATGCTACCCCACAGGGTTGTAATCTCAAAGCCACGCTGTCGACTCAGAGATCAGTAACATTTATCCACAAACTGCTGTCTGATCCCGGGGTTCCTGGGACAAACACCTTAATAAGTACTGGGTCATGGCCTGGTGGCTATCTGGGAAGCCCTTAATAGAAAGTTAGGGAACCCCTGTGTGTGTTGATGGTGTTACTGTAGCTTTCAGTCACAGTGCCAGTTGTGTTTCTGCTGCTTTGCACTTCCCTTTTGTAATTTAATCAGCAGCCTTTCTGCCTCTCAAGCTCCACCTTTGGCAAGCCAACATGGCAATTAATTGGCTTATTAAATCCCTTCGCAATGCCCTATCGGCAAAACTATCAAAGACTAATCCTCCCTTTGTACAACAGTACTGTATGCAGCGCGAGAACAGAGCAGTGGACATAATCAGGGCTAAAAGTTGACAGTAAGACAAAGTTATTGTGCTGTAAAGTTATGGGGCTAGGTGCAAGGAAGGTGGGGGAGGCACGGATAACAGCAGTTGCTGCAGCCCAGGTGTATTTGCATATCTCATTTGGAAAGTGTGGGTGTAAGAGAGAGCAACCCCTACACCTATTTTCACAAATTGCTGAATTTGTTATTCAACCAGGTGTGTGCCAACAAGTGATGAATCTTTTGCCATTATCAGCTCCACTCATTGTGTGTGTGTGCAGGTGTGTTTTCTTTTTTGGGAGGGGAGGTGGGGGCTAATTGGGGCTAATTTGTGAAATGACTGAGAGCGATAGATTATGCCAGGCCTAATCCTGCAACATTTGTCATTTTAGCGAAAGAGCAGCTATTTTCAATCCATCTCTGTCTGCCCAAATATCCAGCTCATCGATCTCTCATACAAACACATGTGTTATTTCGCTCACACACACAGACACCTGATGCATGCACGCAGATTAACATTTGAATCCATCACGAGTTGACTCATTTATTTCAGTTTTCTGACTTCTTATAACACTACAGACGTTTTCATCTCTCTTGTCATCAACCAAGGACGCAAAGAAGGTGACTAGCACATCATCAAACCATCTGGTGTGCGATAAATAGAAGGAACAAAAAATCACGCACACACCACAGAGAGTCCGTACTGACACTCGACTCCTAGGATGCAGTTGATGTTGTTACAGTGCAGACAGTTTTGGTTAATCCCAATTCAGCAGCAGCAGCAAGTGAAAACTTCTCAATGTGACCCCTTGTGTGTGAGAAGTATCATTCCAGACTATTGGCTCTCTCTCTCTCTGCCTGACTGCTCTTGGTGATGAGCATCAACAGTAGCCACAGGGAGCATAAACAGCCATCTCGTTTATTCCCCTCCGCTTCCTGGAGTATTTCAAAGCAGACTTTGGGGGTGTGCATCTTCAACTTTCTCTCCTTTGGAACATCTCCCTGAGAGGGCGATTTATTCTCCTCCGGGGAGGGAAGATGTGTCACCCTGCACGAATTGGATTGATAACGCTGGGCTAAATATAGCCCTGCGGCAGGAAGGAGGATATTTTTAGAAGTGTTTATAGTGCCTCGCCTTGGACACTACTTCAGCTGAATGACCCAATGGAAGTAAGAAAGGCGTGGGTGGGCACTAAACACTGCGACTCTCTCATTGAGAGATTACTGCACTTAGTGGGATTGTACAAAATGTGAGTGGATGAGTACAATTCCTGTCTAACTCCAAATGATCATCTATTCGGTTAAAAAATAAACTAGTCAAAATTAGTCCTCTAAATCATTTTCTGTTGACAGAAGCTTAGATTGAGTGGTTTCTTTGGCTCTACTGGTTGATTTGAGTAATGTATTGGCTTTCCGTTTACAACAGTCTCTAATCCATAAAACACACTGTGTTTAGAGCGCTGAGTATTTTAGTCTTCTCTCCTGCTGAAGTGCTCACTTCATTTTGGCTTCAGGCGGTGCTTACGTCATGCTATCAGATATCACATTGTTGTAAATTGAGTAGCGCTTTTACAGAATCTATTTTCCTTGCTTTTGGAATATTTGATTTATAAACATGCTTTCTCAAAATGTTTCCCTTTCATATACCCTCCAGCATGCATATAAAACCTTGGAGACACTTCTTTGTAAAGTGCTGACTCACTCTAAATTGATCCCCTGCAGAGCTGATCAAGGGTATGTGCTAAATGATGCCCTTTTCTCAAGCCTGGAATTTATGCAAAATCGAAGCAACAACACAATACAAATCAACATTGATTTCTGGTCTTTTTTTTTGGATCGCTGACTCTTCCCCTCCAGCGAAGATCATTTATGGAGTTAATTGATTTGTCCTGCTGTACTAATCTCTTTTTCTGCCAGCGACATGCTGAGCCATAAGACAGGTTCACATTGTAAAATTCACGAACAAACTCCAGTTCGAAACCCGCTCCTGCCGCCACTGCGTCAGGCCGTTGTGTCCTTGGGCAAGACACTTCACCCGAATTTGCTCCTGTGGGTATTGTTCACAGTACATGTATAATATCAATGTGTACTTGTAAAATCGCCTTGATGACTTCGAGGTGTGAAGATTATCAGATCAAGGGGGTGAAACCCGCCGCCGCTGCATCTATAAAGCCGTTGTGTCCTTGGGCAAGACACTTCACCTGAACTTGCTCCTGTGGGTATTGTCCACAGTAGATGACCATTACATGTATGTATGATCTGTATGTGTAATGTGTATTTGTAAAGCGCTTTGAGTCATTGATAAAGCGCTATAATAAATACAAGGATTATTATTATCCTCTGCTAACAAAAACCTAAAAGTACCCATCTTGTACCCTACTCAATGGGAGTTTCACCAAGAAGTAGTCTGCAGAGACATACAAAAAGCAACTGTTGGGTATAACTTGCGCAATACCCAAGACTGTATTAAACAAGTGGACTTCGTGCCAGGTCGGAAAAGGTAAACCAATCAGAAATTCCTTAAACCTGCATTATTTTTAACGGCTAGCAGGGGGCTACTTCACTGGTTGCAAATCTAGTCCCATTGTACAGAAGTTTATGAGAAAATCATCCTACCTCTCACTTGATTCATTGCCTCCGAAACAATTTGTATTCTCATAAAACTGAGTATGTTGAGTATGTTCAACAGAAACCTATCAATCCCGAAAGAGGCGAAGAGATGCTTATCTCTTCCCAGGTCCGCATGTCCAAGTATGGTCACTTATGGCTCCAGAAAAGAAGATGGCCACTGCCAAATTGCCTAACTCAAGGTTTCAAAGAAGAGTGGCCGAGAACAAATCGGCGTCAATGGGGCCATTTATACAGTCTATTGTTTTTCTCTTTAAAGACACAAAAAAGCCAAACTCACCTGAAGATAATGGCAGGGCCTGATGTTGGACTTGAGGTCGCTGGGTGTCATAGGCTTCTCCAGGTTGAGTGAGGACTTCCTGTAGGCCTCCTTGGCTTGACTGACCGTCAGCGTTGACCAGGAGCTCCTCTTCATGAACTTTCCCTCTGGCGCCATGCTGATGCTCTCGCAGGCGGAGCACTTGACATCGTTGTTACTCTTGGATGTCTTGAGGGACAGGTCTCCAGCTAGGTGACTATGTATCGAGTCAGGGTAACAGTGGCCGATGTGCTCCACAGGATGCCGTGACATGACGCTGGGTGTTCTGTACGTACTGTCACTATCCAGGTTGTCGTCCGAACTCCACCAACCTCCTGAGCGCTGCTTGCCGCTTCCTTCAGATTTACGTTCTTTGCTCTTGCTGCGTTTGCTGTGTTTATGGTGGCCTTGGTGGTGGTGATGGTGCGAGTTGTCCCGCTGCGAGTCGCCTTTGGTACCGTTCATCTTTGAGGAACCTTCCAGTGAGTGCGATTTTGTGAAGAGCTTCTGTACAGAGTGGACTAAGTGGCGTATTCTCCCCGGGCTTTCGTTGCGTTGCTCTGTAGTCGTGGTTGTAGTGGAGGTGCGTTGGTATTGCAGCGTGTGGAAGCCATCCCGGTGCAGCGGCATCTGCTTCTCAAATTGGTCGAGGAGGTTTGCTGGGATTCTGTTCATTTTGCCGCTGCCACCGTGCGAGGACGATCCACCGTCATCTCGGGGGTCCCTGCTGCCAGAGTTGTTGCCCCCGCTTTCCCGCGTTGCGCTGCCGTAGTGCATGCGGGGGAAAGTGCTACTAGACATGGAATGGTCCGTGGCCGACATGGAAACTGGTATGACCATGCATTCAGAGTGGATGGAGCTCCGCGGGGAGCAGCGGTGGTGACTCTCAAGGGGGCAGCTCTCTGTGGGGCTAAGGAGGTAGGAGGGGGGGCGTGAGTTGCTATAGTGGAGGTGATGGTCCAGGGCATGGTCGCATTCAGCCAGGCCGCAGGTGTGGGCTGAGATGGGAGAGGTGAGCTGGAGCTGGGCAGGGCGGCCGCCAGAGAGACCCTTCATGTTCCTGGGTGGAGGGGAGTAGCTGTCCTCATCGAAGTACTGCGTGGGCGACCATGAATACTGCTGGTCTGAAAGACAGAGAGCGAACATTAGAGCTACCCTCGGGTAAAAAAAGCATATCCCCCAGAAAAAGCAATCACAATTCACATTTAATGATGTGATAGTACCACATGACAAGTCCTCGGACAGGTTGGTAATTATGAACCTTACTCACACTCTCCTCATACACTTCAACTACAAAGGACACTAAACCAGGAAAGTAGCACATCCGAAAAGTGAAATCAACAGATTGTAAGGATACAAAATATGTCCTTTTTTCCACCCTTCTATTCAGGTATGTGACAAAAATACGGCTAGAGAGACAGGGAAAAAATAAAAGGCAGGCGACAGGTAGGAGCCCGCATTGCCATTTATCCAATGCAAAGTGAAATAATAGCCTATCACTCCATGGTGCTTGTGTCATCCGTCAAAGCCCTGAGGAGAGCGCTGTGAGGCATACGGCGGGAGAGGCGTCCTTGGGAGGCGATCAGCAAAAACGCCCTCCCTCCCTTTTTCTCTGTTGGTAATGTAATCTTAGATTAAAACCCTATTCTGAGTGATCGGTCACCAAGGGCAGACGTCCCACCACAGTATACCAATGTATTAAACTTAATCAGAGGATACATTTACTTTATTATTCCTCTTGACTGTGTACTGTCACTGTAATTACAATGTCCTCCCTTTAAATCACGTCAGGGGGGGGGTTAAAATTCCATGTGGGACAGGGAGCATGCTGTATGTCATGCATGACCCTCTTAATTACAATTAAAAGTTAAAGTGTAGAATACATTCCAAATACAAGGGTTTTCAAATAAATGCATTTGTTGGTTAATGAGGTTTAAATTAGCTATGAATGCTAATAAGTGATGCCATATAAAGTGTCAAAGTGTAGAATGTTATTAAAAAAAAAAGCGTCTACAATATCTTTATTTGGTAATACAATAATATGTTTGTCTGCCGTCTGTTTTTTGTCTGAGCTTTTCTCCTGTATATTGTAGGAGAAATGCTCAGGTAATATTTCAAACTTATCTGCACACTGTGTTGTGAAATAGGAAACAAACAAACAATCAAAATAACCATATCTAAGCTCGCTTGCTTGCCAATGATACGCCTCATAAACCCATGCACCTTCACAGTAAGATAATAAATTGAAGGAGAGTTTTTATATGCTACGGATGGGAGTTTAGGGGGCAAATTGTCACCTTTTTTTATTATATCATGTACTGATGGTATTCTTCCATAGTGCCCCTTAACACAACTCTGCAGCTTCCTGTCCGTTTTCATTTGTTCTCAATGAGGGAAAAATGTGCCTTTTTTCATGGCACACTATTAATTTCATGGGCGGTTTTAAAATGATCAAATCAAAGCAGCAGAACCAGAGATAACCTTTTTTATGGTAAAGGCTACATTAACCCACAATGCAACTCATGCTAGTAGTGGCTAATGCCGCTAGCCTTAAACTAGGAATGAGGAGTGGTCTAAAGAGGTCTGGTTTTCTTTTCTTGCTTCAAACCTTTAGATTATTCATATTTTCACACGTTTTGTCTTTGGCCCCAACCAACTCTTATCACTTAAGTCAGTTTAAGCCCCTCTGGAGCAACAAACAGCTTTATAAAACTTTTTCACAAAATTAACTTGCACTCCCAATATCCTCTTAAAAGATTATGATGTGTAAAATTGGTTTTTAAATTCCCCTTTAATCGTGCCGTAAAAAACTGAAAAAGGAAAATGAGGAAGAATGTCGTCATCTTAATTAACCTAAACAACCTCTCGGGTCAATCCCGGGGCTCTTAATTTCAATTTCCTTCTGCTGACGGACAATGAACAATAATCGGAATGTTTAATATTTCTGCCTCGAGCAAAACAAAAAATGAAAGGAAAATGGCTCTATCAGATACTAACCTGCAACAGGAGTTGGAGAAATTCATAAAATGATTAACAGTTATAATGTATGCACTAGTACTATGCAAACATTTTCAAATACCAGACAAATTGTAATTCATGATAATGCAAATATAATACAACATTGCATTACTACCAAAGCAAAAAAACTATTTTAATTGTAGCTCTTGTCAAACTAAATCTGCCAACCCTTCCTGTGAATCCCCAACAATCATTCAGGAATTAATTTCAATGATTTGATGCTTTACATTCGAATACAACTGTATACTCTTCTCTCATACAAACCAGACAGACAGTACATCCTCTATAAAAACTCCTCTGGGCCCTGTCAGAGCACACTCAAGGTGTTACTGACTCCATCCAGGATTTCCCTCCTGATTATTTTCTCAATAGCTCTAAGAAAGTCTCACAAATCCCCCCCCCCCCTAAAATCACAATGACTTACTGCTGTTGTGCTGTTTAGTGAATTGTGACTAAGGGTGGAAGCTCCTTTTCATCTTTCATTAAATGTATTCCATTCCAACTTATATTTAATGAGGTCTAAGATCTCAACCCCTGAGGTGCAGCCTTGCTCTTCTGTTGCTGCCATGCTCCATCTGTCAAGATGAAAAACAAATTCTCCTTGTTTACCAGTTTCCTCTTATGAGGATGTCTAACTTGGCTTCCTGTTTTAAAATGAATCCAGGCTACTCTAAGCATGCATGAGGAGAAACAAAAAAGATGGGTTATTTTTCCTGAGAAGGGACTGTTTTTGGAATGCTGCACATAATATGACCATCTAAGACATTGCTATGGATAATATGTAATCTGAACTTCATTAACCCGAGTAATTTCATTTCCAGTTTGCTAGTAATTGCAGCAGAAGGATGACGGTGCATTATTGATAGATGCAATGCTAAACTTCTGTCTGAAGTTATGTCACTGTCTTACCTCAAGGTCTTTCTGAAGGCTGACTATTCCTTGAGGTATCTTGTGGAGCTGCGCTGAATAAATTACCTGCCGGCAGAGTTTCGGCATTTCCTGGGATTATACAACAGATGACAGACTCATCCACCCTCCATATCTCTTCCTCCATTTTCCAACCTCCTTCTCTGCTAATACAGAATTTTAGTTTAGCTAAAGGAAAGAAAAAAGTTGACGTATGATTCAGGGAGTAAGTTGACAACAAATTGTGAAGGTTATTTATTATTTTAGCGAGGTGGCTAAAGGGGATAGATGCACTCTGAGTGTGCATCCTTTTGGCAAGTGCTCTGCAAACAGGGAGACAAGTATCTGACATCTGTGGACAGGGAGAGGGCTTGTTGTTTTTAACACAGATACCAGCACCTGCCATCAAAAAAAATCGTCTTTCTGGCAAGGGTGCCAACTGCTCCGAAGGACGGCTAGACTGGAGGGTGAATTTGGAAACTGGAGAGCAATTAAAATTCAGCACAACATAGAGCTGCAAAATTCTCTTTGGAATTCTGGCTATAAATATTGCTAATAATGACTATGCAAATGAAGGCAAATTGGAATATGTGATATATTAAGATAGGAAACGGCAGGGATCCTTAATGTAGTCTTAAAAAGGCTTACGAATTCGACAGACACAGTTCTCCACTGCAGACATTTTCCTGTGATAAGCAAACGTTTCCTCAAATAAACCAATAAGCACATTCTGCAACCATCCAATCATGTCTGCCTTAACACCTGAACCAAAATCCAGCTCTATAATGTTGTCCAAATCCTCTGGGCTCGGCGGTGATGAATACACCGTACGTCTGAGTGACACAATGAGTGGAATCAGAGGAAGAGGCTCATTTATTAGGGGCTTCTGTTCTGTGCTGCTGCACCGCAGTGTGAGTAAAGGTCGTTTTGCTCCTCTTAACACATTAGCATTTAAATAGCATTATATCTGCACTGAGTATCAGTGACAGCTCCCACTCTTCCACTTGCTCAAACCTTAACTGGAGTTGAAAACAAAGTTAAAAGATAATGAAGCCACTGGACTAGACTGAGAGATCAAAGGCATGCGACCTTCAGACTTGGCAGTGGTTAGCATGGTGGCTAGCCGCCGCACTATTTAAGAGAGGATTAAGATAAAGGGGACTGCGAGAGAGAGTCCCAATGTTTAAAGGGACTTGTGATGGCAGCCTTTAATGTTTTGAATCGGCAATCGGATCTGTCATTTCTGTGTTATCTGGCATCAAACACCCCAAACAGCTTCAGTACTCCAATTTGTATTTTTGCCACCAGTAGATAATTTCTACACAGAATGCAAACGGACCCAAAGGACTGCCAAGTTTATTTCAATTGTACATGCTGTTGAATTCACTGAAATGCATCCACTGTGCAGCAAATGTCAAAGACGGGAACACATCTTTAGTAGCTGTAACCAAAATGGTTTCAAACATGTTTCCAGAAAGAGCCGTTGCTAGCTATTCCAGAAGCAATACTTTCAACTGGCAAGAGGATAGTCACACCCTTTATTTTCTAAGCAAAACCAATCGATAGAGCAGCTTTCTTATCCATCTCCCAAAGGTTAAATGCAGTCTTCCAAGAATTCTGGCCCTTTCTTTAGAAAATCAAAGGCAGGGAAATTATGTCCTCAACACTTCAGGGCAAATCAGCAATGGTCTGAGCTATTAGAGCGGAGAAGGAGGCAAAGCAGAAAATCTGTCAGCTTTGCAAGCCTCATGATATCCAGCACAGCAGCACCGATCAAAATAGCGCAGCAGCTTACGGCTTTGGCAGATATCCCGCTCACTTGTCCATCCAAATGACAGCAATGGACGATTCTTGCACATATTTCAAGAGTGAGCATAAACTGAACTCGCAGAATTTTATTTCTTATATAATAACCATCTGAGCTGTTTCCAACATCAAATGGGAGCCAATCACTTGTCACTAATATTTCTCTCCATATACCATCTGTTTCTGGCCATGTTTCTATGACTGACGCCTAATGCTGACATGAGCTGACAAACAAAGACTGTTGTATATTGAGTCAGCACTACATGTGTCACATGTAGACATGCGGTGTATGTTAGTGAGGTTACTCATGCAGTTACACAATGGGGGAGGACCTGCTCCTACAACGGGTAATACATCAAACTGGGAATTGATGCTGTATTGATGTACTGTAGAG